GTCAAATACAACCAGCAAGATTTTCTAACGTTTGCAGCATCGGTAAACAAGCTCTGTAATGATTTTAAACTAGCCGAACTGACTGCCGATGATTTCAAGTGCTTAATTTTCGCACAAGTTCTAGTATCAGCAGAAGACGCCGAAGGAAATTTACTCAACCGCTCGACGTAAATCCCAAGAGGAAAAAGTATTAACAGTTTTATTTTTTCTCTCCTTTTCAAAAAGAAAACTCTTTGGAAGGGGGTATTGTGTTTATTATGAGACCGGAACTACCTACACAATAGACTCTTCCAGGTCTATATTAAGTATGCGACACAACAGTCTACACTGAGTGACAGAGAGATAGAAACAGCCGCGTACAACTACCAGTATTGGACAATAACATATACTAAGCTCCGCTTACATTATCTCTGTAACCTGTTGTTAATATATCTTTCTTACATATAATCCGTGTTCCGTGTTTTCCTTCTGTGGTCCCGACTTTGGCCCCACATCAGTGTTAACTAGTAGTGCTTTCTAGTCTTGCGTAGCAGCTTGTCTAGGAGAATGACAACTGTGAATTCTGTGCGGTAGAGATCGCAACCTGCAACTGCTACACTAGCATTTCCAAGAAATCGTACAAATAGAAGATTTTAAAGAAAAGGGAGCTGTGAAGAGACATGATCACTTACGCCCTAAAAAGGCATATCAACATCGATTTTTGGTTTCTGTTTTACTTTTCCTTCGAATTTTGCTTTCTAAATTAATGTAAATTATCCACTTCTCATCGTACTGTGGAAGTTACACACCAAAGTGGCTAACATATCCAACGCCCCAAAAAGGTATGACAACATCGATTTTAGGTGATGTGTTTTATTTTCTACTCAAATTTTACATTCCAAGTTAATGTAAATTATCCTCTTCTCACCGTACTGTGCAAGTTACACATCAAAGTGACTAACATATCCAAACTAGTATAAATTATTTTCGGTGCTTTAATTTTGAGATTTTTAGTGTTCACTCGTTATCTTCCCAATTCTATACAGTTTATAATTATTTTCTTTTTTTAAGTATTTCACCCCAAGCAAGGCGGGATGCAAGGGGTTACAGAGTGGGAGTGAGAGTAAAGAGGCGTGATGGAGGAAAGGATGAAGAGAGGAACAGGGAATAGGTCAGGGAATCTGGGATGTCGATTGACATTACATTTGAATAGTTGGAGATTATAGCTATCAGGGAAACAAGTAATAGGAAGGGAATTCCGCAGACAGGAAGTGCGAGACATGAAGCTATTGGAGTAGAAGAGACGGACACATTTAACTGTTTCGGCAGTTAAAGTGTGGGACCGTGATGCCAGCCTAGTAGCACGCTTAAATTCATGGGAACTAGCGAAAGTAGCCCGTCGGAGCAGCTGCCGTGGAAGTATTTGTAGAAAAGACAGAGGGAGGCGACGGCACGTGTGTTAGAGAGCGACTGTAGACGATATGCCGGATCAGGACCAACAACATTGCATATCCGTCCTTTCATTGATATGAACCTCATCTGATCTACCGAGTTCTGGAGAATCGTAAAAACACTTCAATAAATTTTGACATATTCGGCCATGCACATTGCATTCTACATAAACTCTTCCCTATCTGTGCGGCCGAGATATACCTTCGCTGAAGAGGTGAAATGTCATGAAAAATGGAGTACCTTCCTAGTAAATACTTACAGAAACAAAAGTGAATGACCAGTATTTGCCTGTCCCATTTAAATTAATATAAAATCATCAAAAAAAAAAAACACATTCTCCCAAGCAATAAATGCTTATAGACTCAAATATAAGCAAACAATATATTCCTATCCCCAAGCAATTAGACGCTTAAACACTCAAATACAAACAAACAATATTTACCTATCCCCGAAGCAAGTAAATGGTTATAAACTCAACTATAAGCAAACAATATTCATCTATTCCCGGATCAAGTAAACGCTTGTAGACCTAACTATAACCAAACAATATTTACCTATCCCCGAAGCAAATAAATGCTAACAGACTCAAATGTAAACAAAATATCTATCTCCGAACAGGTAAATAGATGCTTAAAGATTCATATATGAGCGACCACTCTTCACCTATGTCTGTGCCCATTCAAATCCGTATATACTTAAATATATATAAACAATATATACCTATCTCAGAACAATGCAAATGTTTATAGACTCAACTGTAAACAAACAATAAGTACCTATAACTAAAGCAAGTAAATGCTTATTGACCCAAATATAAACAAGCAATATTTACCTATTCCCAAACTACTTCCAAAAAAAATAAACCACCCCTAATTCCGTAAACCAGTTAAATGCTATAGATTAAAATATAAAGGACAAGTATTCACCTATTCTCAAACCAAACAAGTATAGACTCGAATGTAACAAACAGTAATTACTTATCCCCGAACCAAGTGTTTATACGCGCGAAGATAAACGTCCGATATTTAACTATTATCGAAGCAAGTAAATGCGTATAGACTCAAATATAAACGATCAATATTTACTTATCATCGGACTATGCGATTATAGAGTTAAATTCAAACGACTATTACTTACCCATTCCCGAAGCAATTAATTGCTTTTAGACAGAAATATAAGAGACTCTATCCACCTATTTAGTAACAAGCTACTTTTAGACTCAAAGGACCAATATTTACCAATATATATAATATATTGCAGACTGAAGTATTACCTACTTGTCTTTACCTAACCCAAGACCAAGTAATTGCTTAGTGACTTAAATAAAAACGATTAATATTTACCTGTTTCTGGAATAAGTAGCTGTTGACTACATAGACAAACAATAGTTACCTGACCTCGAATCAAATAAATGCTTACAGATTCCAGTATAAACGAGCCATATTAACTTACTCATGTACCAATATATCAATAAAATAAATAAGTGAAATATAAATGACTAAGGAGAAACATTTCGAAGTGGTGTAATGGTTAACAAGCTTGTCTCACTAGATCAATTACGATGGAGTAGCGACTTCGATCGTCACGGGGTGGGCCAAACATTCGATCTTGTCACATCTAAACTACGCTTAATGAATCGCTTAAATGATAAGCGAATTTCGACGTCGTGTAATGGTTAGCACGCTTTCCTCGCTAGATCAATTACGTCTGCGTGGCGAGTTCGATCCTCACCGGATGCTCAATTCAGACGGCCTTGTGCCACATCAATGCTACGCTTACTAAATCATTATCATATAGCGACTTCGGTCGTCATGAGGTGCTCCATAATTTTGATCTTGAGTCGCATCCAAGATACGCTTATTAAATCGATTAAGTGAACTTGGATTTGTAATGGTTAACAATATTGCGTCGCTAGATCAATTATGACTGAATATTGAGTTCCATCCTCATTCGGTGCTCTATGATTTCAGCCAGGGAACTTCGATGTAGGGTACTGTTTAGGAAGCTTGTTTCGCTGGATTAATTATGACTGAGTAGCGAGTTCGATCCCAAGTTCTTTCGGCTTTGTGCCACATCTAAGCTACACTTAGTAAGTCGCAATAAATAACCAATATGTATCTATCCTCGAACTACGGTCAAATCACCGGTTCTCGTTCGATCACCGAAGTTAAGCATCGTAGAGCCAGGTCAGTACTTAGATGGGGGGGCGCTTGGGAACACCTGGTACTGTAAGCCCCCAAAGTCCAACCCTTACCTCACAGTCGGTGGGGGGTGTAAACGGTAGTGTCAGAGCTATGCCGCCTGGAACTTCGTTCCTGGTAGGGCCACCCAAGGCGGACAGGTCTGACACACACGCCGGCTAACAAGGGCTCTGGTGAAAATCCAAGGAGCGTCTGCATCGGTAACCTGCGGCTTCTTGTCGTTCCTGTCTCTGCGTCTGTGGGAATCCCGCGGCAAGCAAGAACGTTATCCGAGTAGGCCTGGGTACCCTACTTCTGTAATTTATCCCAAGAATATTCTTCTCATAACAGGAAGAAGCCGGCTCAATTCGCCCAGGGTGAATGCCGCATCAGTACAGTACAGTATCCTCGAACTAAGTGCTTATCAACTCGAAATATAAATGACTCTTATTTAACTATCATCGAATTACAAGATTCCTACCACTAGGCAATGAAGCTACTTTTATATACTTATATTCATATATTAGCTAATTTGCAGAATTTTTTTTCTATTAAAGGCGTATAGCAGTCGTACAAACAAGATGTCGATTTGAAAAGAAAGGCTAACAGAATGAATGTAATACCTGTAATCACATGCAAAATTCGAACAGTGATTGCCGATTCCATTTAATGAGTTAATAGCCGTCACGCCATATTTTGCATCGTTCTGTCTGTGTAGCACCAATTCCAACCTGTAACAGGTATTTATTAGCTGGAATTTGATCTGAAATTTTCACTGCATAATGTTTGATCTACTAAAAACTGAATTCACTACATACACAATAAATACTTTTTATTCAGTTTAAATGACTTTTGTCCTCATCAGGCTACTGACATATTGATATACCTATGAAATATCGCTGGGTATTTTATTTATTTATTTTTTTGATAGTGTCATGGGTCCTTACCTATAACTACAGAATGAACTCTTCCTAACACTATGTATACTACGCCTCACAATCGAGCCGAGCCGATAGTAGTTCACTCCAAACCAGACGCTATTAAAATCTATCACGACTGGAGAGTAAGGACTGGGCATCTTCAGGCCATCAGCAGCAGTACTTCATTTTCAGGGGAGTCATAGGAATAGAGGCTCGGATTGAGGAATCGGAGAGGCGAATTCGAATTTCAGTCGAATCCATGACATTCACTAACGTGCTAAAACCCTTGGTATCAATTTTCCTCTTCTTCCCCCCACCCCAGCAGAACAGACCGGATTCTATAGCTTTTGATGACAACTGGTCTACCGCAGAAAGAAATGGCAACTTACAGCGGGAAAAAAATCTGCCTCGTCAGATACATTATCGCTTAAGCGTGTATCACGCATGGCACATAACTGACTGACTCCAG